TGGATTTTGAAGAACTTCACCAATCAAACCCAGAAAAAGAAGCTCTTATACCTAAGTTGCAGAAAATTTTCTCCATTAAAATGGCATTCTTGACACTTGATCAACTGGCTTTTGTATTTGGTCTCTTGGGTACAAACTATAGAGTTTCATATTTTTTCTTGGATTATTTTGTGTTCTTAATCTATATATATTAATTTTTCTGGTTTGCTAATTTCTTGTTTTGCACAGGTAATATTGTGTCATTCATGGTGTTTTTGGCCCCAGTGTAAAGAGCATTGTCCTTCCGTACTAACCTATATATATATAATATTCATATCATATTTCATCATATATATATGGTTTATATCTAATGATCTGTATATATGTGATCAGACCAACATTTTACAAGATTTACAAGAAGAAATCTTCAGAAGGGTTTCAGTCTATACCTTATGTAGTTGCATTGTCTAGTGCAATGCTGCTACTTTACTACGGATTTGTCAAGGCACATGCTTACATGATTATCACCATCAACGGCATTGGATGTGCTATAGAAATTATATATTTATCTATATACATCACATATGCATCTAAGGAGAAAAGGGTAACAAAAATTCGGTTACTATAATATACATGTGTTATCATTTAATATTATTATTATATATATATCATCAAACTTTTGTATTTTCAGATTGCTACGATAAAAATGATACTCATATTTAATATTGGAGTATTTGGCCTTATGTTGGCACTTGTAAATTCTGTCGTACCGCAGTCAAAGCGCATAAATGCTGTTGGGTTGATATGTGCTGCTTATAATTTAGCTGTATTTGCAGCTCCTTTAAGTATCATGGTATGTTTAAATTAGTTTACTAATCATCTCTAAAACTTAAATAGATAGAATGTCATCTAATACATTATTTATAATGCAACATATTTTTTATGCATAATCTTATAAAAATTAAAATATAAATAACGTATGGTACTAAATTGTACATAAAGTTAATTTTTAATTGAAGTGGCGTATTAAAAATCAAATACTAATTCTCTTATTCTCATAGTTTATTAAGTAGTAGAGTGAATCGATTATGGTTAAAAGATTAAATTTATAAAAAAAATTATTCAATCAACTATTTATGTTTTAATAATACAAATATTTTGTTCAAAAATTTTAAACGGATTTATCATTAAATGTGTTGGTGATATTGCAGAAACAGGTGATACGGACCAAGAGTGTTGAATACATGCCTTTCCTTCTGTCTTTCTTCCTAACTCTCTGCGCTACAATGTGGTTCTTTTATGGACTTTTTATTAAGGATTATTTCATTGGAGTGAGTACAATGACTTCATAAAACTACCTACATAAATATGTGTGTGTGTATATATATTTAAATATATAATATTTATTGTGTTTTCAGCTACCAAATGTGCTTGGATTCATGTTTGGAGTTGCTCAAATGATATTATACATGGTATATAAGGAATCCTCAAACAAGAATGGTGATACAAAATTGAGGGAGAAAAATCAAACTGTGTCGACTTCTATGGTATCAATCAAGAACATAGTTGATGATCATGTAAAAGATGGAGACAAAAAGATCTGCACTTACAGCAACTCAAATGTCAACAATATCTAAATTATCATATCATAAGTGTTTTTTTACTAGATTAATAGAAAATATTTTAAAAAAAAAAAAATACTTGTGGATGATTTTTAAAAATTAAGTTATTATAAGTATTTGAAAAATAAAAGTACGTAGAGGTAGGAAAAAAAGTAATGGTTATGGATGTCTCAGTTGGACATGCAAGTATGAATCAGTTGTATTTTTTTTTTTTTTACGTAATTAGTTTTTAAATAAATTGTCTGAATATCATTAACTCATTGTATTAGTTTATATACGAGTTCGATAAATACGTATTTTATAAAACTCTTAATATATTAGAGTAATTATTTATAATTTTATAAGTGTAACTAGTACATTTTAATTTCTTTTCTATATTATTTAAATAAAAATTTGAATTGACTTGGTTACAGTTATAATATTGACATTAAGATTTTACAATCTCTAAAAATTAATATTATAAATGTACAAATATATCTCATGCAAATCTTGCAGAGTTCACAATATTTCATTAAATTTTTTTTTTTTCTACCATTATGTTCACAATAATTTCATAAGTATCTAAATACCTCATTTCCCAAATCCCAAATACACCCAATACACAGAATTCTTCTTCAATTCAAAATCACTCGAATTTAGCCTCCTTCCTGCCAATTTTTGCACTGTAAATACAAAGTATTAAAAAATATATGAGATTACACATCTCAGCAAATGCAAACAAAAGGCATAAAACAGTTAGAATTAACCAAGCTACCATACCTTCTCCCCTCCTCCTTCTGGATATCTTCAAAACTTGAGACCATGCATTCGATATCTCCATCGTTGTAAACAGCTTTCATATAGCTATTTCTGGCATAAACCATATATAATTCAGCCATGAAAATATATGTGTTTTTTGAATAAAATATTATAGGAAAATAACATTTAACCATGTAAAATGGAAAAAAAAAAAAATTGATAATATGAAAATCAAAAGGTCTTACCTAGCTAATTTTTGAAGAATTGAGTTCATTTGAGACTCAATATACTCTTCATCAACAATTGAAGGCCTAGGATGTTTAAGCTGGCACCAACACAAATGAAAACAACTCAGAAAATGTCAAAGTTCCAAAATTTCACACTATGCAAAATGAAACAGAAAACGAAAGATCGTGCCTGTGTGCATTTACATGCTTATACTTGAGAGAAATATATAAGTTTACCTCATGTTTTTGAACAATTATCGGCTTTCCCATGCGTTGTCCGGTTGGATGCTGCAAATTCTGTAAAGGTGCTTTAGAATGAATACAATGATGGAGAAACAACTTAAGCCTAACTGTTAGAATTTGTTTTTTTTTTTCTTTGGACTATGTGCGTTTACATCCTTATCATCGAGAGATAAAGAGCTTCACCTCATGTCTTTGAATAAGCTTCGGCTTCCCCATGCCATGCCTTGTTGGAGCCTACAGTTTTTCAAAAGTGTTTCAGAATAAATTAATTGAGACGCAGCTGAAGCCTGATTGCCGATGATTTCTTTTGTCTACGTGCAATTACATGCTTAATACTTGAAAAATAAAGAGTTTCACCTCATGTCTTTGAATAAGCTTCAGCTTCCCCATGTCATACCCTGTTGGAGCCTGCAATTTTTCAAAGGTGTTTCAGAATGAACTGATGGAGACGCAGCTAAAGTTTGATTGCCGATGATTTCTTTTCTGTATGTCCAATTACATGCTTATACTTGAGAAATAAAGAATTTCACCTCATGTCCTTGAATAAGCTTCGGCTTCCCAATATCTTGCCCTGATGGAGCCTGCAATTTTTCAAAGGTGCTTCAGAAAGAATTGATTGAAACGCAGCTGAAGTCTGATTGCCGATGCTTTCTTTTGTCTACGTGCAATTACATGCTTATACCAGACAACTAAAGAGTTTTACCTCATGTCTTTGAATAAGTTTCGGCTTCCCCATGCCATGCCCTGTTGGAGCCTGCAATTTTTCAAATGTGCTTTAGAATGAATTGATTGGGACGCAACTGAAGCCTGATTGCCGATGATTTCTTTTGTCTACGTGCAATGACATGCTTATACTTGAGAACAAAAGCGTTTCACCTCATGTCTTTGAATAAGTTTCGGTTTTCCCACGCCATGCCCTGTTGTAGGCTGCAATTTTTGCAAAAATGCTTCGGAATGAATTGATCGAATGCAACTTAAGCCAAATTACCATAAATTTCTTTTATCTATGTGTATTTATATGTTCAAACCTAAGATACAAAGAGCTGACCTTAACCTCTTGTCTTTTAATAATCTTCGGCTTGCCCATGCGTTGCCCTGTTGGAGGCTGCAATTCTTGCCCAAGTGCTTCAGACCGACTTAGAATTTGACGATTTGGACGCAACTTAATCCTGATTATCAGAGGCTTTTTCGGCTGCTCCAGTTGAGGCTCCGCTCCAGGTTGCGAGTATGACAAAGAAGCTTTCTTTTCATCTGGAGCACGGTGTCTTGAAAATGAATGCAAACGATTTTGCACTGCTTTCAGTTTATTCGATTCACCATAAACTTCTTCTTGTCCCAAATTCTTATTTGCAACTGCTTGTTGCAACTGATTTTCCATTGCTTTCAATTTATTCGATTCACCATAAACTTCTTCTTGTCCCAAATTCTTATTTGCAACTGCTGGCCTTGGGATAGATGGTTTGTGCCTGTGAGAGCCATGAAGATCTTTCAATGACGGTGGTTGATTCTTCGGTGCTGAGTTCTTCTTAAAAGTATTGTGTACACCAGAATCTTTTCTGGCATGTATGTACTTGGGCTCAATACTTGTATGTACTTGTTTAGACAAATGATCACCTGAATGAAGTACCAAAAAGAAAGTATTTTAAGCTGTTAGAGAACAAACCGTAAGAACAGTAAAGCAGATGCATTCTTATATATAAAGAGTCACAAAGTAACTTAATTGGCAGCGAACTTTACCAACTTTAGGTCTTTTTGCAGGTGGTGCAGGAAGTTCAGAATCCGGGCCGAACAGGAAAGAATAGTCCCGAGATTCTCTAATCATTTGACATTTCGTTTTTCGATCAAGAACACTAACTGATCGAGTTTTGTCCTGGATGGGGCAATTAAAATATGATTATTTTAATGCTAAACTAGACCCAATAACCTTAAGCAAAAATGGAAATTGTAAATTGAAAACTGTCTTACGATACAAACGAACATACACTCGGGAGTGAGATGATAATACTCACAGTAATGGTGGGCTTTACAGCCTTGGTTGCCAACGGCCGCTGCCTCAGTGTTCTTTCTCTGATCAGTCTTTTAACAGCGGCAGGTTGGGAGGAGTCAGATATAAAGAAGGAACCAGAGCTGCTGTAAAGATAAAGGCATAACAGATTAGATATTAGGGCAATCGGAAGCTTGAAACTATTTCTACTTTAGGGCATAAATCATAAAGGAATAGAAAATCAAGAACTCTTTGGAAGTTCTTGCAGGAAAAAGACGTTATAAACGTTAAATCAAATTAAATAAAACTAATCTTCTTCTCATGAGAAAAAGACTCAATGTTTCTTCTTAAGAAAATAAATCGCAGAAGGGAGAAGAAAAAATCGTAAGGCAAGGAACCTTGTATGAAACCCCACGTCCATGGTCTCCTTAGAAAAGGAGAGACGTAAATATCAACAGCGAGAATCATGTCTTTCGGATTCTCCAACCTCGAGCTACTCAAGAACAGAATCAAGATTCCCATATCGTTCGACTACAAAAACTGGCGAAATTCCCGGATTTCAGATTGAATCCTTCCGAAGGCCGGTCGAAATCAGAAATCTTGATCGGTGATTCTCTCTCGTTCTTGGTCAACTGGGAGAAATTGACCCGGGCTGCCGAGAGCCTGGTTATCGGCAGAGAAGAAGAAAGCCAAGCCGTGACCGATTCTTGGTCCGAGACTTAAACTGGGTCGGACTCTCTGGTGAGTCCCACGACCCCGTTTCAGAGGTGAGAATGTTGCAGAACGTGAAAGAAGAGAAATTGAAGAAGACATTCTCCTCCGCTGTTCTCCTTCGACTCCAAGAAAACAATAACTGGAAAAAGAACTCCAAAGGGATGAAATCACTTACAGATTTTTCTTCCTCATTTTTTTTTTTTAACAGATTCTCGGAGGATATTACTGGCGCAAAAGGTATGAAAAGATGACAATGGAAGCGGCAGAGAGTCGAGAAAATCGGATGATATTACGCAAGAGGATGAAGTGGCGCGGGGAAGACGAAGTGTTGGGTATTTATAGGGTAACAAAAATACAAACGATGTCGTTTTTGTAGTTGCATTAAAACGATGTCGTTCGGGTGTTTGAAGAAGATGGGTCGTGCTCTTCCTCTGGTTTTAGGCTCGGCTCTTTGATATTATTTTGTGGTAATAGATTAAAAGGGCTAAGCTGGAGTTTGCTTTTAGGTTTTATTGTGTTGGGTTCCTTAATTTGGGTCTTGAAAAGTTTTAAGGTGTTGTCCAATAAGAAATGTTCCCTAACTCATCTTCCCCGCTGCCACTCCTGTATAAATGAACCAACTGGGAAGAATGAAATTAAGCTGGTAATTAACTAGAAATATGCCCAGAAACCTTGAATTTTTAAGAACTTCAACGATCAAACCCAGAAAAAGAAGCCCTTATACCTAAGTTGCAGAAAATTTCCTCCATTAAAATGGCATTCTTGACGCTTGATCAACTAGCTTTTATATTTGGTCTCTTGGGTACAAACTACAGAGCTTCATATTTTTTCTTGGATAATTTTGTTTTCTTAATCTATATATATTAATTTCTCTGGTTTGCTAATTTCTTGTTTTGCATAGGTAATATTGTGTCATTCATGGTGTTCTCGGCCCCAGTGTGAAGAGCATTTTCCTTCCGTACTAACCTATATATATATAATATTCATATCATATTTATCATATATATATATATGTGGGTTATATCTAATGATCTGTATATATGTGATCAGACCAATATTTTACAAGATTTACGGGAAGAAATCCTTAGAAGGGTTTCCTTACGTAGTTG